ACTAAGCCAGGTGAAGACCTCAATGTCTGCTTCAGGTGCATATTCTCTGCTGCTGCCTTCACTCCTTTGTAGAAAAAGCTGAACCTCTGCAAAGCACCTTCCATGTTGTCATCAGAGAAAGCAGGCTTGAGTTATCATGCTCCAGCCCGTTGCAATGCTGGGGCAGTGTGGTACAGTGCATGGTGCCTCTGTCCCCAGCAGCATCAGTGTTCCTGAGAGCTTACAGACAGGAGAATCTAGCTCACAGGTTTCCAGGGCATGACTCACGAGTAATATATGGCATGTGGCAGTCTGCAAATGTTTCATGCAGCCCTAGGAAGCTAGAGCTGAGGTGGGCAGGGAGAGCACAGCGGTGTTGCCTGCAGCATATGACTCCTTTTGTTGCTTCTCCAGGTTGCAGAAAATGTGGATGGCCACTAGCTATGTGCTGAGTCTGCCAGCATCTCTGGAGATAGGTCATGCCTCCCATGATCTGCAGCCCTGCAAAAAGTCTTGCAAAGTCTTCTTGAGTCTCCCGCTTATCTCACCTACCTCACTGGGGACACCACACTGGGCATAGCTTTTTGGACTTTGTCCTGTGCCATTGTGTGGTGTCTGATTCTTCCTAGATCCCAAATCTCCCAGATCCTTGGTACTTCCCATTGCATGCCTCCCCTTAGCCATGAGGTGAAGCTGGCCTGAGATCTGTAAAAATAAAAATAATAATAATAAAAAAATAATAAGAGAGAGAGAGAGAGTGAGAGCTGTGCCACGCTGCTCCAGGTAGGGATGGGCTGACCCTTGCCTGCCCAGGCAGTTTGATCTGTATGTGTTTCCTAACGTGTTACTAGGGCAGTCTCCCATCATACAGCATTGCTGTGAAGCTGGTTACTCCCCAGCAGTGTGCTGGATTCTCCGGGTGATGCCAGCCTGTCTGGCCCTGCCTGCTCTGGAGCAGCCCATGGGGCCTGTTTATCACATAAATAGCGGGACAGATGCTTGTGTAAGCATGCCTGCCTGCCTTCAGGAGCTGCTGTAACATCCCTTCTTCAGCCTGCTTGGAGTCATCCTCTGCCTCATCCTGGGGCTCAGCTTTGCTTCTCTGAGTGGAGGTTTTGGATGGTCAGATCCACTGAAATTGCCGAGCAAACAGAGCCCTGAAACAAACCTCGGCTCTGGAGACAGCTGTTTGCCAGCACCCTCCTCGTGCCCTGAGGGTGGGTGCCACAGTTCTGGGCTAGGCCCCAGGGTTGCTGGATTTTGGAGCGTGGTTTGAGAGGTAGTTGGGGAAGGAGGAGTGTGAAACCAGCCAGAGGGACCTGTGTTTGGAGGTACAGCAAAGTAACAGAGGCAAGTGAGGCTTGCAGCTGGAGTCGTTGTGGTCGTGTGTGAGAAGGAGGCAGCTCCCCTATCCCCTGCTATGGCTTGCAGAGGAGATAGTGTGTGGGTCTGCCTCTGGCTGTGTGCAGCTCTGCCTGCTCTCCAAGGAGCTGGGAGAGTGATGGCTTTGGGTGCTGCTCGGGGAAACGGAGGGACAGGAGGGATCAGAGGGCCCCTGCATGGAGCAGGCAGGTCAGGAACAGTCCTGGACTTGCTGAGCCCTTGGGGAGCCCAAGGGACCGTAACTGGTGGACAAGCACTTTGGCACTGACTGACACACTTTACTTGGCTTCTGCAGCCCGTCTCCAGAGGAGGGAATGGGTGATGAATTCGACCTGATGGATCACTCTGATCTCTACATCCTCGACTTCAGTACGTGAGCACTCCCTGCCCAGCTTGCACCTCTCGCCGCAAGGTGCCTTGTGAGCAGGCCCAGCTGTGAAGCACCGTGCCGTGTCCTACGTGGCTCCAGGCACCTGCCTCTCAGAGCCAGGCAGTTGTGTCTGGCTGGTGTACGTGGCTTAAGGCAGCTGTGCTTCCAGGCCTGAGCTGGGCTCATGGCTCTTCATGCACTCCTTCACACAGAATTCTTGTGGGAGCACAGAAAACTGCTCCAGCCTGTCCCTGGTGTGCACCCTGCCTTGTCCCTCGGAGGGATGGCCAGGGTGCTCTGCCCTGTTCCCTATGGCACTCAACTGCATGATGCCTGTGCCCCCCCACGGTGTCCAGACAAGGACTGCTGTGGCTAACTGCCCTCTTTCCACAGGCCCCAGTTTAAAGACGCTGTGTAAACTGGCAGTGATTCAGTACAGCCTGGACCAGTCATGCCTTCCCCACGACATCAGGTACTGCATGCTTTAATGGGAGGTCACTCTGTGGGTGCTCCCTGTCCTTGGGGTGGTCCAGCCCTGGCCGAGGGCTGCCTGGGGCCCTCCTGGCCACTCTGCAGCTTTGGGGCAGGCTGGGCTGGAGACTACAGCTGAGGCTGATGTGCAGCGGAGCAGCTCCAGCCTTGGACGCTGTATCCGTGCTTTCTCTCAGTGTATCCCGTTGGTGTGTTACAGATGGGAGCTCTCGGCCATGACAACAAACAGCACCATCAGCCGCCCGATTGTCTCCTCCCAGGGCTGACACCGGCTCGTCCCTCTACCACGCTGCCCTCGCCCCTCCACACACTGACCTCTTGCTCCACTGCCTGCATGAATTTTTTTTAGCCCTTTCAAGCAAGGAACACGTGAGCTCAGTTTGTCTTGCCTTAGCTGGGCCTCCCTCTGCCCTTGTCGCACTTTGGGCAGCACGAGTGTGCAGGCAGAGCCAGCTGCTGGGGAAGAAATTGGCTCGCCCCAGCAGCACAACTGTGAACCCCGCTCCCTTCTGATGGCTCCAGCATCTCCTGCCTTCCTTCCCCTCACCTGTGGAGCTGCAGCTGTGATGGCCTCGTCCCTGGCCACTTTCCAAGGGCCTGAATGAACTCTGACCACCAGCCATGGCCCTCGGGTTGGCCTCGGGCTATGAACTGTTCCTGCAGAGAGCAGGGACCTCCATGCCTGCACCCGCCAGCACTGACCAGTTTCCTGGCACTGGATAGCAGGCCCCAGCCCCACGCTAAGCCTGATGTGGGGGCCTGGGCCCAGCTGGACTCTCTGCCCAGCTCCCATTGTAAAACAGCAAATGGGGGGAGTTTTATAAATGTTGGGGCAGACACAGTTTCTGCTGCTCTGTGTGTCCTAGCAGGCAAACTGGGGGGAGAGAAGCTGTGGGAGGGGAGAGACTGAAATCAGGTGCTTTCCCCCACAGCTGCAGGCCACCAGTGGCTTGTGGCAGC